GGTGGCCACACAGACACGCTTCCTGGGACCAGATCATCATCAGTGGCTGATTCATTTGCTTTTGTTCTGCAGCTTTAACGCCCTTCACACATGATCAAAGGCGTGAACCACTGTTTTCCAATGGAAAGAGAGGAATGTTGAACCTGTGGCTGTGCCACACTGGGTGTTGTGAGCTGTCCAGATTTTATACCTTATCACTGCTCTGAAAGCTTCAGGTTCAACCTTTTCATTTTGCTCTTCAGTATAAAAACCAGTTAGTGACATCAGTCTGGTCCCAGGAGGTGTGTCTGTGTGGCCACCATCAGTACGAGTGCTCGTCTCCAGACATAAGAGCCTGAGAAACCTCCAAGACAAACCAAGACTATACTTTCAGGGATCATTTCTTTAGTTTCTGACTTGAGAAATGTGTTTCTAAAGAGTGTGGTCTCACTGCCCACGATGAAGAGTTAAGATGTTTCCTTCAGAGCAAGAAACTGGTGGAAAGACTCTGTTTCTTCTCCACTGTTGAAGATTGGTCAGTGTTTCTGACTGAGACACTGATGGAGGAAACATGTTCTGAGTGGTTTTGTTTTCTTTAATTAAAAAAAATGCTGACTTTGTAACTGTGTTGTATGTTTTATTTATGTAAAGTTATCAGTATATGACCCCACAGGACTTTGACATGTTATGGTGAATATGTTGAAGTCTGACCAGTTGACCAAATGTTTTGTGTGCGAACATCTGGATGTTTGCTCCACCTACAGACTCTACTTTGAGAATGTACAAGATGAGCCGTCAGTCTTCTCCTGTCAAACAGGTGTTTTCACTTGATGTTACCTGATTAAACAGGACACAAACTAACCAGGACAGTTTCATATCATCTGTCACTTTCTTTAAAACTAATAACACAAAACCATCTTCTCTACTGCACAAATGGTCTAAACAAAGCAAAGTCAACTTTAAAAGATGATGTTACTAATAACATTAGTATCTTTTTTAATAATAAAACTCCACTCAGATCATGTTTCCTCCATCAGTGTCTCAGTCAGAAACACTGACCAATCTTCAATAGTGGAGAAGAAACAGAGTCTTTCCACCAGTTTCTTGCTCTGAAGGAAACATCTTAACTCTTCATCGTGGGCAGTGAGACCACACTCTTTAGAAACACATTTCTCAAGTCAGAAACTAAAGAAATGATCCCTGAAAGTATAGTCTTAGTTTGTCTTGGAGGGTTCTCAGGCTTTTATGTCTGGAGACGAGCACTCGTACTGATGGTGGCCACACAGACACACCTCCTGGGACCAGATCGTCATCAGTGGCTGATTCATTTACTTTGTTCTGCAGCTGTTGTGTAGCTTTAAGACTGCTTAAGCTTAAGACAAGATTGCATTTTACCAGATATTCCAGCTCAAGGTCCAAATTGTAACTTGTGTTTGTTGAATCTCTGCTCTGTTTTGGTTTTATTCACAGCAACTTAACTTCATTTCCCCCTTCTCCCGGCCACAGTACTTTACATCCACTAGTTTATGTCCTATTTGGTTTATTTAACTGCACTACAGGACATTTCTGCACATGTTCAGTCAGCCAATCTTTCTCGTCGTCACCTAAACAGAAGCACATTCTTACTTCCCCAATCACAAAAGAGAAGCTCTCACAGTTCCTAAACCTTCCCAATCGAAACTAAAATGAAGATGCTTGTTGAATGTCTTCACTTTGGACTCTTTCTGTGGTTCAGAGCTTGATGATTTTGACATGTCTGCCTCAGTCAAACCACAGCTTTTCAACAAATGTCCCAGCACTCTAGTGACTGTCACATACATTATGCTTCACTTCAGAAAACTGGCCTGGTTTATTAACATTAACCGATGGCTCAATAACCAGCTCCCTGAGCTCTGCCATTATCATTTATAGTGTTTCCTGGATACTCTTGTTAGCCTGAAAGCCCGGTGTCATGTTTGCACCTGGCTGAACCTGAGGCTGCCTCAGTGTGCACCAGAGGTCTGTTCTGTGACGACAAAATGTGATACTCTAAATCCTCTCCGGGGGCATTTATTATCATTTAGGTCTGTGTGAATGTCTCGTCTGCTGTGAGGCTTTGCTGATGTACATCCTGTTTGATTAGATATTCTGTCTTGTAATATGAGAAACACTTCAGCTACAGCAAGAAACTACAATATACAGTTCAGATTTACTCAGTGCTGTAATATGTGTAGTCTTGCTAGTGGCACAGCTTCTGTGTCGGTATCTCAAGTTTACCTGAAGTCTGGGTAATGCACCACTAAAGGTTCAAGATGGTCGCTTATGTCCGCCTTGTTTCTCTGTCCGATGATGTCACTGAGCTCATCTCCCGCCGGGTACAGCCAGTCCTGAGTCGACCTCTACAACAGGAAGAATACCAAAACACCAAAACATGACGAGTGAGCTGCTGCTAAGTTTGGGTATGTGATGAATTCTATGAGGAGCGAGGGCTGCGATTTTTCACTTGAACAACCTAAGACTAAGACGTTGCAGAGCTTTTATTTATTTTTACACCAATTTAAGAAAGCTGTTACTATGGCATGAATCTTGTTTCAACTAATCGCTCGGTAATAAATCAGTGCATTAGTCACGATCCAGATTTATAACCACTAGACATCGTTAAACAAAATGAAAACAAGTGTTTATCAAGAATCGGGGAAAAACTGTCACGATACTGACAGCTAACTTAATTTCCATATTTTATTTGGACTTTTTGTAATTATTTTTACCCCATATCTGTCTCTTTCTCTCTGTCCTGTAGTTTATTAAATATGGACAATGGACAGGACCCGACTGTCCAGGAATTTGCTAAAGTTAGAGTGACACAACAATTTCATTATCACAAACAAAAACAACACATAGCATCCTTAAAGCATTAGTCAATAAATTAGAAAGATGAAGCATCGCATGTTATAAAAACCTAGTTTTATGACTGCATTGTAATAAATAATGCAGGTCTACGGTGCCGTCAGAGGGGAAAGGAAAGGCTACTAGACTGTAACGTGTTCAGTGGTCACGTCTTTCACCAAGTTTTCAGCTGTGACTCTGCAAAGGTGGGTCAATGTCTAAAGCCAGCCGGTAGCGTGTTCCAGGTGTTGGCTGTTCAAGTGGAAAATCTGAAGTATGAAGTAGCAGAAAATGAAAATACTCAAGTACAGGTATCTTAGAACTGTACTTAAGTAAATATACTTGGTTACATTCACCTCTGTCAGTAAATATATGTTTAGATTACCTAATGGTTTGAAGTTTACTGCATCAAGGCAGCAAATATAATGTGAAATATTGGTATTTGTCCCCACCAGGCTAAACAGAAAGATGTTGCTGTGGGGATATAAGAGCTAATTACCATGTCCTCAAACAGCTCCCTGAGTTTACCCCACTGCTGGCGGATCTTGGCTGCAGCTTTCTCGTGTTTCTGGTTCTTGCACGAGTAGTTATTCTTCATCAGCTGGCCAATGTACTCCCTCACCACGTAGTAGTGCAACTGATTTGCAAACTCCTGTTACCGGGAAACACACACACACAGGGAGTCATGTGGTAGAACAACAGGACAAGCACAAAGACAAAATATAAGTGTGCCTAATTTTATCATCATACAATCAGCAGCCACTTCATCACCTACATTTCCACCTATTCATTTGTCCCTGATTTATTTCACACACTTGAACATTTGCTGTGGTTGCAGCATCCGGTGCAAAACAATGGTGTGTAATTCCAAGAAAGTCATTGAAAGTTCCTAGATCCCTAAGGGATGACACAGCAATGTGAAAACATTATCAGTCCCATTAAATGCCAGTATCTCACCACCTTGGCAGAGCATCAGAGACTACGAGGTTGGAGTTTTTCTTCTAGGGTTAAGGATTTGGCTGGTTTGTTTGATAAAGTGTTCAGTAAGTGCTGATGTGTTCTTCCTGCCTCTCTCCTCCTCCTCCTCCTCCCCCTCACCTGGCTATGTGGAGGCCTCATGACGGTGCAGTTCTCAGAAACCTGCCTTGTCCGACTGTAAAGCTGATCAAAGTCTTCGTCATGGCTGAGCCACTTCCTCGTCATCATCTTCATCAGGTACGGCTGGAAAACAGAAAACAAAGGTGGTTCAAAACATTTTTATCACACTTACTCCATGCTGCTTTTTTCTGATTTACTCTGCAGAGATTTGAGGGAGGTCATGAAGGTTTTTATTTTTGGTTATTTAGACACCTGCAGCTCTTCCACTTCCTGCCTCAGGCAAAGCAACTTGTGTGCAGCAGACTGGAGTTTTACTTACAAGCAGCTTAAAGGTGCTTAGTTTTTCTAGCAAGTGAAAGACTAAGTGATGTGTTCAATAGCGTTTGCTAAGTGGACTTCTGTGTACAGATTTTTAAACACGTCTCTAAACACATTGACAGATTAGTTGGTTCATGTGCAGTAAGTATGCTCTGTGCTATTTTAATTTTATTTTATTGCTCTTTTTAGCCTATTCAGCTAAGGTATTTTTATTTGTGTTTTAATTATGAACCAATGCAATGAAATGTTGTCCTGCTGTGCACGTTTCCTTTGGTGTATAGTTAGACAGTAAAGAATTATGTTATTTCATCTCTTTTCTTACATGAGATAACAAAAAGACCAATGTGGGATCATCTGCTGCACATATTCTGGCCTTCTCTACAAAAAATCATTAAACACCTGCTGGAGGTGCCCTGCTAGCTGAATGGCTATCGTGCGTTGCACCATATTGGTAAGCACAGTGTGTGGGTGATGGTGGTGGTTCAACCTATGCCAGAGGTCTGTGATCTGTTTTCCCCATTATAATAAAGGCAAAGGCCTGAAAACCTCTTTGTGTTTAGCAAACATTTTCCTTAGCAAGTATTTTTTTGCCCGTCCTCTGACAGTCTTTCCTTGCAGCGATCATGTCATGTTTCCCAGTACATCACACTATTTTGTGTAGAAAGTCACCAAATACCTGCTTTCGTAGAAGTAGCTTGTGGTGAGATTTTCAGGATTAATGTCTTTTATCCTGGTTTTACATGGTGGTTAAAACATCCTAGCAGTTTTAAAATTTATGTTCAGGAAAAGCAGCTTCCCTTTTTCATTTCCCCTTTTCTACTGGGTGTGTGGAACTGAATCTGAATACTGAATATTTGGTGATACTGGACTAAAATACCTTGACATCTTCTTTGAACTGGTTCTCCAGGTCTTGCCTGAGCCTGACAATCAGTGACATCACCTCCTTGCCGAGGCCCTCCACCTCATCTGGACAGACGTCCCGGTACTCACCCATGTGCTTTCTGCAGCGGGAGGAACAGGACACTAGAGATGTAACATGATATTTTATTTTTATACTATGAAGCACTGCCACACCTGACTCATGCACCATAGCACCTTGAGGTTTAAGTACTGTATCAAAGTGCAAATTTTAAGAAAATGAGTATTTTCTTTCTTTATACAATATTGTACCTTTTTCTCCAGGGCATTTATCTGACAGCTGGAGCCACTAGACCTTAAAAAAACCCAGTGGTTACCAATTCTTTCGGTTTGTGACCTTTTAAAAAAGTGTCACTCCTTATTTTGGTCGATTAGTTCACAAACAATTACACACACAGACACATATTTATGTGTTTTTGACTTTTCCCCCACTCTCTTACCGGGAAACAACTGCAAGTTCAAATTTCTCTTTGTGTTTTCCTGATGTATGATGGTGCACACATATACTTTGTGCTTGTTCCAGTGACTCTTTAAAGGCGATTCTGCTTATAATGAATGTTTACACCCTTGAATCCAGGTTTTTATAAATGAATGTCACATGAGATGAAAACCTTTAGCTCCTCTTGCATTGAAAGCAGAACAAGCAAATCTACATCACAAACACACACTGTTCAAGGATTCTTGAGCCAGAGCCTCATCTGCAGCATGCTCTCAGTAACTCCCCCACCCCCTTGGACAGAGAGCAGCACTGAGAGCCTCATCTGCAGCATGCTCTCAGTAACTCCCCCACCCCCTTAACACAGCAGCACTTCTCACTAGCAGCCCCGATTCCCTGAAATCACATGGTGCTGCTCTCTGTCCAAGGCTGGCCCATTTATGGTGCATCCAAATGGTACTACTTTTTCCAGCTGGTGTGAAACTCGCATTGAGCAGCCACACAACCACGGTTCTACCTCTGTTGACATTCCTTTAAATCATGTGGGCCAGAATGCTGGGAATCTCCAGGCAAAGTCTGAAATAAGTCAGCAGATACTCATCCATATTAAGGGTAGAAAGGACTTTCTGATTTGTTAAGCTCACTCCCCAGACTGTGAATGGTTTTCTTCACTGCCTGCTTTTTGCATCAGATTTGGAAACACAGGTTGAAGTCAATACAATTGGATTATTTGCGGATGATCAATGACCTGTTTAATCTGATATGAAACAGTGCTTAATGTTGGAAGCCTTCAAAATAAAAGCACAAGCATGTTCGACATAAAGCCTGAAAGTTCATTCTTGATCTTGAAATCAGTAGTTTGACAATAAAAGGCCCCTTTATGGGCTTTTTCTGGAGCTTTCCACCCCATCTCTCCATCTTCCTCAGCATGGTAAAATGGACTGTATTTTATATAGCGCTTTCTCACAGTGTGTTGCACTGGCCAAAGCGCTTTACAGAAGATCATACACCATTCACCCATTCACACACCAATGACGACAGGCTGCCATGCACCGGCGCTAGTCAAGCCACCGGGAGCAATTCGGGGTTCAGTGTCTTGCTCAGGGACACTTAGGCATGCGGGGAGACCGGGAGTCGAACCACCAACTTGCTGGTCAGGAGACGACTGCCCTACCTGAGCCACAGCCACCCACAGCATGTGGCGCTCTACAAAACCATGAAATGCAACTGAATGCTAAAGAAAAAGTAAGTGGACCTTGAGTTAAGATTTTATTCATTTGTTTGTAAATCAAATCATATTTAACTTCAACACATCATGACAGAAGATTAGTACAGGAGGTAATTTCATTGGTTTGAATAGTTTTAATTAGCAGATAAATGCCACTTGCTGTCCCTTTATTTTTATTTTTATTAATACTTCACAGTGTTTTATCTCATGCTTTTTAATGTTTAAGAATTGTTTTGAGTCTTGCATCTGTATTTCTTACTGCTCTGGTTTGGAGAGTCATGCTGTGTTGTTACTATAACTGTTGTACTTGTTATTTTTGTGCTGTTAAGTTGTGGTGACAGACAGTTTTGCACAGTTGTAAACACAAAAAAGTGTATTCTAAAATAAGATACAGACAAATAAGTGCATTTGAGCACATTTTAAGCTTTTGTTGTGAAGGTAAACATGGTCAAATCCACAAGTATTTTCAACTTTATTTTGGCTACACTGGTATGAACAGTTGTGGCTATAAACTGTACATATCAAATCACATCTTAATTTAAACTTTCGCCTTGTGGCATTCTAAAACAGGAAGCAGTGAGACTGCATGTGAATCCACACTGGGTGGATCTTGTAACAGATTTAAATGGGAGGTGGGCAGATGCCGGAAAGCATTATAGTTTATCACAAAGCCTCACAGGCAATTTCAGGAAGTCATGTGACTTACTGCAATGCAGCGAAGCTGTTGATGTAAGTTATGTTGTACTCGTTCCACAGAGGCTGTGGCCTGAGAGCGCTGCAGTGACACTGGAACTCTTTCTCAAAGCTGCAGAGGCAAGATGAGACTTGTTAGAGGAGGGGAGAGATGGATTATGCTCACAGTGTTTCTATTATTTACAAAATGAACAGAAAATCATCCACAGAATCACTGATACACTGATACAATCAAACACAGAGCAATGGAAAACAATACTGTTCACAGATGTGATGAGAAGTTTTGGACTGGGAGCACTGGTAAACACTACAACAGAACGTCCACATCAACGTGAACTGAGTGTAATTAAAGTAAAAACAAACTGTTTTCATACATGATCTAAAATTATACTATGTTGCCAAAAGTATGTGGACATGTATTGACATACTTCTGAAAGATCTACATGTCTGCAACTGGTCTAAACCACGTCATAAAGAAATTGTTTTCCCAGTTTGAAGTAGAAGATAAACAGGAACACTGATCCCAGTGTAGTTAAGCCTTTTTATTTTTTCCTTATATAAGCTGATTAGTCTCAAAGAGGCACATGACACACTATCATCAGACGGTACAGACAACTCCAGTCCAGGCCTTTTTGCCCAACATCAGTGGGGATGTGGTGAAAGCCTCCGTAGAACAGTGGATATTATTATAGAAGCACGCTGACACAGTCGTGGTTTTACATTTTTAACAGCTTGACATACCAGAGTAACATTATGTTGTCTACATAATTTTGTCCATATGTTGTAATTAAACAAATATTCTACACTTGTATTTTAGTGAATGGTCAAGAAGAATGTTAAATAAATCCATAAATGTCAAAATTGTTCACCATATTTTCTAGTTTTGATTAAGTTTGTCCCAAATGGAACAAAGTTGTTTGTATTGTACTGATACTTAATCTCTCAAAACATCTTTTCAAGTTTCATTTTCTAAAATAGTTTTATTACTTAGTAGTTTTTGGTGTTTAGTTCTAGTATGTCTATGTTTTTCCCGCTACGTTTTCTGCTGTCCCGGCCGACCCGAGGCCTTTCTATGTGCAGTCTCCATGTTCTCTCTGTGCCTGCCTGGGTTCTCTCTGGCTTCCTCCCACATTCCAAAGACAAGAAGCTTGGGTTGACTGGTGACTCTAAACTGCCCCTAGGAGTGTGTGTGGGTGTGTGTGGTTGTTTGTTTACATGTCAGCCCTGTGATTAGACTGGTGACCTGTTCTGTTGCAGTTAAAACATTTCCAGAGGAAACAATTAAGTTTGATCGGTTCCTTATATTTCTGAGAAGAGGCAGAGAAAGACAGGCACATGATCTTTAGAGGATTTCTCAAACGTGTTGGGTAATGTCAGAGTGCTTCCCCCTGGGACCCTGGGAGATTTACATTGAATACTGTGTTTAACTGAATCACCTGACTCCCACCCCAACAGGGAAAAAAATCACATGATTGTGTGGTTCCTGTTTGTGGTCTGTTTGTTGTTGTGTGATGCTGCAGTCGGGTTCCCCCTCACCATGAAGCGCTGCCCCACAGAGCATCAGGCTTTTACTGAATGCATCACCATTGATGTCTGACCTTTGACCTCCTCAATAATAAATGAAGTGACAGACAATGACAGTCTGAAGTACTTGGCGTATGTTTTTATGTAAACTAAACAAATTTATAATGAATGAGTAAATAAGGAAAAGGAGACTTTTACATACTTTATAGATTATTACTAATTCACTGATTATGTTCTGTAACCAAGACTGATGACTGTGCCAAAAAAACCAAAACAATCAGCTAAGAAAGGCTAAAAAGCACTGTAGAAATATGGAGCTGTGGGTTCATCACTGTGTCATTAAACAAGCACTTGTGTCACAAATGAAGCATCGCATTGCTACTCTAGCACAACAATGCTGTTAGCATGCTACTACGCTCACATTAGCAATGCTAACGTGCTTACAGTAAACTGCCTTTCACAACATGTTGTTGAGCAGCCAAATGAGGGAAACTGTTCACGTCAACCGCTGATTTATAATTCTGAGTTGGACACACTAGGAATTTTCTTAGCTCATTTTAGCTGTACACTTTTGGTTTGTGTCTGGTTACAAAACGCAACACACACCTACAGTAAAACTAATCAGGCTTTTGAGGGTTTTAGCCCTGGTGTCTAACACTTGGCATTGTGCCATTGATAAGACGTGTTTTTCCTATTCTCATTCATTCCAGTATTATCAGGCATATTACTGTATATAATTATTTTATTTATTGTTAATTTCAGTTTATGTATTTTATTCCTTTTTTCTCTTAACTGATGTTATTCTCGGTTTAATGCTTATTGTTTTTAATGCTGTTATCACACTGAATTCCTCTGTGTATGAACTGCGCTAACTAAATAAAGCTGCTTTTTCTTGACTCGGCTATTGTTTATCATGTTCAGCACCGTAGTTTAGCCTGTTAGCATGCTAACATCAGCTGAGGCTGACCGGAATATCGCTAGATTTACAAATCATAAACAGAATTGGATGAGTTAAAACTCTGACATGATCGAGGCACAAGAGGAAAAGTCATTAGGATTCATCCTCTGAACCATGAATGCCTGTACAAAACTTTAACTTCATGGTAATCGATCAGTTTGTGGTGAAGTCGTGGCACAAGCATGACTAAAAAAAAAAGAAAAACATATAGCGCGGTGGGAAAATATTGAGTAAAATAACTGTTTATGTCTTTATGACACTGTCACAAAAAGCATCTTTACAAGATTTATTTAAGATTTTTCAGAGAGAAATGGGATGAAATGAGATGTGTGGCCACATCAGAAACATTTTCTCATTTCATTTTTCATGTCAAAGCTACAAGAGAAAGTTTAGAAAGAAAGAACATTTTTGTAGTGTCATCTCTTCTATGTCATCTGTTTCTGTTTGTTGCTGCTATCATAGGTTTCACTTGAGGGAGCGTGGAACTGAATGTTGTCCTCTCTAAGATGCCCTTTCCTGTTAGATACTGTTTCTACAAATCATTCTATCATTTAGTATTTGTACACAAACTTTATATATTCAACAACTCTAAGGATGCATACACACACAGTATATGTGTTTTTGTGCTGAAATACCTCTTGGGGAACTTCTTCAATTGCACGAGACAGGAAACAGCCACTTTCTGTTCCAGATGACCATCAATTTTTCCAGATTGCATCACAAGCCCCTTCATTTTCTGCAGAGGAAACACTGTCACACCGCTGCCGCCATGTGGCCAAATCGCCCACTGTGATTTACTCCATTTGTGTGTATTTATGAACTGAAGTTTCAATGAAAATTAATATTTCTAAGCTACAATTTGATGATTTTAAAGAAAATGTTGTGGTTTTAACCACATCATTTGAAAGCATCATGTGATGTCATATCCTTCATACAGCTATAAAACGATCCTGTGACGTACCGTCCAGATGTCCATGTCTAACTGAGAGACGAGGAAGCCCTCGTCCTTCTCTGGAGACCTGCTTTTACTCCAAACATCCTCATGTTCAAGTTCAGTGAGTCTGTTCAGGGATGAGCTTATGTCCTTCTGCAGCAACAAACACACGGAGAAGCTGACATGAGTGACCATTTGTGAAACTTCAGCCTGAACAACAAGAGGCAGTTCTTTTCTGGAAAATGGAGAAACTTGTTTGACAACTGTTGTTTTAGTCTTTTTTTTCCCAAGCAAAACCTCTCAAATGTGAACATTTGATGCATTTTTTGGTGACAATTGTCAATATCATTAGGTTTTGGACTGAGAAATTGAGAAGATGGAGAAAATGATCTCTATTAAATTGTTTTCAGAAATAAAGATTAAAAAAAAACCTCACTGTCCACCTACACAGCAGGAAACAGCAGGCAGACACGGTCAGAGTGGAGCATTTAACAGCTAAAGATCAACACAGATGAGCATGAGATCATTAGGAGAATGTCATTAAAACAGCAACCTGAGTAGAAGCTGAAAGGTTTGGTTTTATGACATTTTATTCAATTGGGACCCAGTCTACCAGGATGTGAGCGTGTCTGTGTCTTCCAGTACAGGCCGAAGGCAGATGGAAGGCTCCTACATTGTCTGTCATGACTGTGGATTTCTGCCACAGCCAGCTGCTGCTGCTCTCGTCTGCTTACCAGGCAAGGTGCATTTAATCTTGAACAAGTCTATTCTCTGCTCTATTCTATTCTAATGTGACCTGTAATGTAAAAAAAAGTCCAACCAATCATCTGAAAAGGTGATTGTCCATATGTCCAGGTTGAGTTCATAACTTGTTTCTACTGCCCCCAAGTGGTCATAATCAGTCATAGCAGGAAGCTGCTTGGTGCTCAGTTTGCTCAGACTGTTTTTGTACTGTGAAATGTGTTTTATGTGGTGAATCAAGAAAAATGTGCTTGAATCAGTGAGGCTTAAAGAAGTTGTATCTCTAAATTCAGAATACATGCCTCTGGCCTATAGTCGACAGCACCACATGACAAAGTCAAACACAGAATGTCGGCCCTGATCCTGCACCAGATCCTGTATCTCAGCTACAAGGTGGAATAGTCTACACAGAGCATCTCTGTGCCCCTCACCTCCACTTTGTAGCAGTATTTCTCCTTCAGCTCCTGCAGGAAGTCCTCCGACAGTTGCAGATCCGTGTTTTCATTCTTCATGTCTGGTTGCAGAGACGGGCTTCCCATGATGTTGCTGTCAGGGTGAAAAAATACATTTTCACAGCATTTTATGGGAATGTGATCTGTGGGCACTAAAGAATGC